AATTGGTTTTTAGCTCTATCCTATTATAAGTGAAATCACCAAATATCTTCCTTGAATTGCACTTGGTTAAGTCTTTTGAAATGACATTATAGAAATTGTGGGCATTTATTATTATGTCCTTGGCTTTTACAGAGGGTTAATATAAGTAATCATATCTGCATTTCCTAATGACATCAAAACTATCACATGGTTTCATATTGTTCATTGTTCCAAATAAAAACAAGCCATATGATAAATTTTGCTAAAGTATACTGAGAAAAAGCTCTGCATTTTTTATTGATTCATACGTAACAATTATGAAATTCAATTCACTATGCTTTTTATCCTTCTTCTAGGAAATTGAGATATATATTTATATCCAATACCAATGCATGTTCATGGCTTAAGTTCCTGTATCCTTTCTCTATAGTATATGTATTCCTTTATGCAATTTATTTATATGTGTGCTTTTGTCACAAATTATCTCTACTTTTTTGAAGTAGAAAGAGTATGAATAAATAAAGGGAAACTGAAAGAAAGTGCTTCTCTCTTCCCTTCAGTTAATCCCAGAGATAAATTGCTTTTCATGATCTCATTCAAATAAAACCAATTCCATGAAGACATTTTGACTTGTCAAAGACAGCTTGCCTCCATTGTCTACCTCCCAGGAAAACATTTGGAACATCATATAAAATTAAATATCTTATTATATACTACTCCCACATATATGGTCACATTTAAAGATTTTTATTTGTCTGTTTTAGGACTTAGAGCCAAACAGAAATTAAAACAATGCAAAAAAAAAAAAAAAAAAAAGATACAGCAAATACCAAGAATAATGACAAAACATTGTGCCACTTCAGAAGTTAATATGCTTTTCTTTTTAAATCATAAGCATTACCTAGACTTTACAAATCTCCTTGCTGCTGAACTGCTCAGATTCAAATATGGGGAAAAAAGCTTGTTTTAAATGATTTAGCCCTGTATGGAATTATAAAGTAAGCTAAAGTGTAATTCTTCAAATATAAGTAGATGAACTTCAACTTTTTTTTTTTTTTTCCCAGAGAGGGGTGGTATAGCCACTGGATTATTAAGTATAACACTAGACTCCTAAAATTTGCCAAATCACATGGGCTAGAATTATGAACACATAATTGTCTCTAAAATATCCATATCAAGATAAAAGTAACATTAAATTTCCATCTGATAAAAGTCTTGTTTGCCTAAATTAGTTCTTAACAGTGGTATAAAACTTTTTCATTTTCTCTAAAAATAACTATTAACTTCATTCTAAATTTAAAGAGGCAGTTGAGACACATTTTTAATGCAAAATTAGTTCATGCATTTTTTTATCGTTTTTGAGATTTGAAAACATAATGTTTGGATAGTTTCTATTTTCAAAACTGTTAATTGCACAATATCCCATCCTAATGGTGAGCAATTTATTTCTTACTTCCTTCCACTTCTTGTCCATAAGCACATATATTTATCCCATTTGCAACAATAATATTCAACATTATTTCCCTCCTTTAAGGGCATATAATCAAAACATTTCTCCCTAAATTTCCATTATGATAGTTTTATTAACTATGTGATGTAATTTTAAAAATAATTCTGTTAACAATTATGTTTTAATGTATTTTTAAAAACTGTGTAACAATATGCTAAATAAGAGAGGATGGAGGGTTAAAACTGGCTGAGGAAAGAGAATGTATACAACCAGAAGTGAAAGAAAGTCTAAATGTTCGCTGGATGGATGAGCCTGAATGAGATACAGTTACAGAGACCGCTCAGATAAAACAGGGGAAGTGAGATTAGCAGGCAGTGCCCTGTACCCCCTTTCCTTTTTTCAACCTTATTAGCAGCTTTCTTTATGATCACTAATAGCATTTCCAATATTATAATAAGGGAAGTCTATGTCACCACTCTAAAGGAAATCACAAAAGGTCTCAGTTGACCAACTAACTCCCACCTGTTCCTAGGTTCATCAGAGCAATACTGTAATAGGAGATAATTTTTCTTCTATATCACTTCTACTTTGCAGTGAACAAATTTTTTTTCAACATGAAATGCTTTAAACTGGAATCTTGCCTCTAGATAGCTGTATAAATTTTATTACTAAAACATTATCACATTTTTACTTATTGCTAATACAAACAAACAAATAAAGCCTGCAATATTTCTCCTCTGGGATGGCAAATTCAAATCAACATGAATTACATTACCTGTTTCAGACATCTTGATTTTTTTCTGTCAATCTTCAGAGAGCAATGGTCTTGTAATTAGACAAATTGTACATTGAACCCTCAAATTCATATTCTTTACACCAAAGCATCCAAATCAAAACACATCTCAGGATTTCTTCTGATGTGGGACCAAATCTTATTTTCGACTCTTTTCCAGCACTTGCCCAAATGAAAACTAAACAGCAATACTTTTGGATCCCATACCCAAGAAACCTTGGCTTACCTTGTTACTGTTAGACAAATTATTAACAACAGCAAGAACCCTATAGTCTTTATTGTTGTCAGATGAGCTGTTCTGGTTGTGGTATACCACACATGCAAAGTGTGCTGAAACAAATGTTTCAATTAATTTATTTCTCATGAATTAATTCATTTAAATATATTTCACAAGGCCAAATACACATTTGAGGAACAAAGTGACCAGATACATACATCTCTTCCAGAACTAGGGTTCCAAGATGCACCTAAAAATGTTCACTAACAGAGTTTTGTACTTTATCATATTGAGAGGTCTAGAAAGGACACCTGGTCCTTAATGCTGGTTATCAGGATATGATATGTTTAAGAGCAACAAAGGAGCAAACTGTAAGTTAAATCCTAAATTGCAGTAGAGCAGAACAAATATTGAGCTATTACTAAGAAAATCATCCATCATCAACACCAACTCTGCTTGCCATTATACAGACCAAGCAATTGACTGATTTCTTCATTTTTTAGTTATTGACTCTGTTTTCCTGCAATTCAGTCATCCAGGGCGTGGTATTTAGGGATAGAATATGAACATAAATATAGGATTCAAATTGGATTGAAGTCAGGTCCTTGTTAGTTATACATAAAAAATGGGCTTTATTTTTAAGGTTTGTTTATTTATATTTATTAAAATTTATATACTTTATTAAAATAAATATAAGGTTTATATTTATTTTAAAAAGCTTTATTAATGCAACAATTCATTTTATGGAATCTTACTTCATATGAGTACAACTACTAATGGAATGAGGCAACATAAGAAGGTCTGGCTAAAAGACTTTTTTTGATAAAATAAATACATATGATTAAGTGGATGGTCAAGTCCTTGAAAACACTGCTGTACAGAATGTGGCATTTAATTTTAAATTTTCAATTGGCAAACTAGTCACTGCTTCAGGATTTTTAACTAAAAAATTTCAGAAAAATATGAGAATAATATTAAAGCCACTAAGCTATAAAGAATACTATAAATAAAATTAAATATATTAAAATATTGAAAATTCTCACTTTAAAGTCTTGCATAAAAACCAAATGACAACACTGATATTTAAAATTAAGAAGATGATTATGAACATCTCTTCATACAACTTTCCAATATACAGTTTTCCTTGATGGGAAAACATTCATGCTTGCCCACTGAAATTGTAAGAACATCTGAAGCAATGCCTGATCAGACACTATTTGGAACTAAAGTGTACTTGAAAAATGTTACAGAAATATTTTACACCTACATTTGCCATAGTATATCCATTATCCACCACATTCCAAATTCGAAATAACAAAGTAGAAACATATCAAGATTTCACTTTGCGTTGCTAAAATATCTTCTTCCCCAAGACATACAAACTTGATCGACAAAAGCTATTGCTTTTTTTTTAAATATCTTAAGATTGACATGAAAATAGGCTTATAATTACATAGAAGTAACTAACACTGAAGATGAAAAATAACTGCTACTCAAAGAGCAAAATATATGATATGAACAATTACTATAAAGGAAAACGTAAATTTTTTTTTAAAAATCTTTCAGAGATTAAAAGTGTGAGGTGCCCTTTTGTTACAAATAACAGCATAAATTATATGCCTTTAAAAAGTATATAGTATAAGAGTCTGAAAACAATTAAGATTAAAAAGATGAAATCTTTTGTGATAAATGGTACTCTGTCAGCAAATACTCTTAACTAAAATACCATAATATAAGTGTCTTATTAAATGATAAAGTAATTTTAGTCCCATAATTATGGCAATACTATAAAAATAAAATTATACAAGTAGAATATCAAGTTTACCTTTTAATAACGGGTTATTACATAAAACAATATGCCTATTTCAGAGTACTTGATATTTTACAAATAATATTTCCCTATAATTTTCTTCAAAACCAAGGATATCCAATTTGATTTTGTTTTACATGTGTATACATTATTGACTTGAACTCTTTATCACCTTATAAAATCAATATGTTTTCCAAATCAAATAATTCAGTGCAAATACATTTAGATAAATATTTCTAATTATTACCTGACAAATCTTTTAAAAACCCAAACTTATACCACAATGACAGAAAATGTTTTCACAAAGCCAGTTCATACGCATATTCTCGAAGAGACTTATAAACTTGTTTTTAAACTCATGTCAAATTTCAGGCAATTTTATGGCATTGTAAAAAAAAAAAAAAAAAGTGGAAGGAAAAATTTGTCCAGGGACTAATTCTTCTTTAGAAAGGCCCTGGAATTGTTGCCTTTCACAGGGCTATCAAGTGAAACCAGGGAAAACATCACTCAACAATGTGAATAATTTCACTATCTTTTTCCTTCAAATTTTAAAATCAACCCTACCTGTCTTCCATCAAGTAATTTATGAATACACTTACAGAATTTATTATGAATATCAAAAATTTTGGTTCAAACAAAGTCAACAAGCATAGACATGAGTGAAACAAAGCAAAGAAAACAAAACAAATAAAAACAAAACTACCACATACTTCATGGATTAATGGTGAAAAGAAAAGAAGAGATTTCTTACCAAGCACCCCAAGTCGATAGTTGACTGTGATGACGATCACATTGCCATAACTTGCCAAGACACTCCCATCATATAAATTTCCAGTACCTTCCATATATGAGCCACCATGGATATACACCATCACTGGTTTGGGACCCCCACTGTCCCGAATATCTGAAAAACAAATGGTTGGCAAGTGTTCTTATCCTCAAAAAACACACATAATGAAGCAGAGAATACATTTTCCATTTTAGGGACAAAAGAGAATGATTTTAATATAGTTCTTCAAATTGCTGTTTTGTTAAAGTGTTTCTTCAGCAACTCATATTAAAGCTACTGTGAAAAGAGCAATAGGTATTCACTATTTTCTAGCCAAAAATTTTGTTTAAAATTATAAACTGAATTACAAAACTTGGACATATTAAAAATGGGTGTGAAGGGGCGCCTGGGTGGCTCAGTGGATTAAGCCTCTGCCTTCAGCTCAGGTCGTGATCTCAGGATCCTGGGATCGAGCCCAGCATTGGGCTCTCTGCTCGGCGGGGAGCCTGCCTCCTCCTCTCTCTCTGCCTGCCTCTCTGCCTACTTTGATCTCTTTCTCTCTCCTTCTGTCAAATAAATAAATAAAATCTTTTAAAAAAAAATGGGTGTGAAGTTTCGTGCTTTTTGATTGATTTCTAAAGTGACTGTAGAACAAAAAGGAGGAATGACAATGGGTCTTAGAACTAGTTTTTTTTTTTTCACTGTCATAGACCTCATATGGAATTTATGAGCCATAGGCTAAGGACAATGTTATCACTGCTATTGTGAATAAAACACTCTGGTTCTCCATTTCTTATTTACCATAAAGGTTTTATTGAATGCATCATAATTATATTAAATAATTTATGCTCTAATTTGTGAACATAATTACGACACCGTGTTTTAGGTTCCAAAAGTTTCATTTCACTACTCAAGTACCAACTGGTAGATGAATGTTTAGGCTGTATAGTCTGCACTTTTGTTGTTGTACGTAGGGTACTGTCACTTCAATGGTGTTTATTCGTTAAGTCTGGGTTATCTCCTCACTCCACCAACCCTGCCCTCTGGAAGAAGAAAACAAACTAAATTATATTTTTCATCTCTTTGTGTAACTCCTGTACTCTTCCTAGTCCCATTTTGGCTCTATGATTTTGTCATGTAGACATAAAATAAAATACAGCTAAGACCAGGTATAAAGTACCCAATTTTAAGGATGATGTTAAAGTGACTTCAACAGCTCTGACTTTTAATCAATTGTGTTTGCTTTTCTAAGATACTTTCCCCAAATTTTGTAATTTTCAATAAGGATCTAGAAATAATATATAAGGGAACCATAAGATAATTTTAATTGGTATTAAAAATGCCCTAATTTCTAGAGAGGTAGGTACTTCACTTTATATTGGCATGGTTTTAACTAATATTGAAATATTATATATGTATGTATATGATTATGAATACATACATACACACATCAAACATTACTGTTCTATAATAGCCCATTATGTCTTTTACCCACAATTGAAACTAAATTAGATTGAGTGTATTTTCTTTTTGTTAATGACAATATTAAAAAACACCATTTAAGGGGCGCCTGGGTGGCTCAGTGGGTTAAGCTGCTGCCTTCGGCTCAGGTCATGATCCCAGGTCCTGGGTTCAAGCCCTGCATCGGGCTCTCTGCTCAGCAGGGAGCCTGCTTCCTCCTCTCTCTCTGCCTGCCTCTCTGCCTGCTTGTGATTTCTCTCTGTCAAATAAATAAATAAAATCTTTAAAAAAAAAAAAACACCATTTAAAAGTGTAGATTTGTTCCTTTGTTTTTGGCATTTTTTATCAAACTTAAATCTCCTACATCTTTGCAACTGAGGTTTCAGCTTTCAGAATGGACTAATATAATATAAACTCATTGAAAAATCTGGTCATTATTTAGATGCTGCTTTACATTTCCTATGAAAAGGGTGAATAATATAAATGCCTCAACTTTTCTACTGCTATAATAGTGATTTCCTTAAATTAAAAATCCTTTTAGGATGAGAAATGGCAGCTCAACTCATTTGTCCAGATTTTCAAGTTAGGAAAACAGCTCACTGCAGAATTCAGAGACTTTTTTAAAAGCCTATTTTAAATTTAACTTAATACCAGTATATAAATTTACCATAATCCCCTTCTTCCTCTCCAAGAGTGTACTTGAGAAGAGTGTCTTATTTTTAAGTGGTAAAAGGAGGATACTTTGACATCAAAACTATCAATTAGACACAATTACATTTAGAAGGAAAACTTAAATTTATGTTCTCCTTAAATCCTTAGGAGGGAAAATGGTATTCACTCATTTGTAAAGATGTGGGGGCTTGAGGAGATGTTAGGCTTACACAGAGAAAACAAGAAATTTTTAACTATCTTCCATTTTTAAATGTCTGTTTGCTACATACGGTTTTAGCTTATTTTTCTAGGATGGCTGGCACCGAAGAAGCAGTAATAAATTATTAAACTGAAATCATTAACTGACTGTTCACAGCAGACACTGTACTCTGCTAATTGTATGCTTGTAGGTAGCACAGAGGGAGGCTGTTTCAGAATTCTTCTTTAATTAAAATTACATAGAATTACAAAGCACCAACTGTGAACTGTAATGAAATCTTGGTAGAACCATTCTGTTCACCTGGAAAACAATACAGGCACACATTGAGACAACTTGCCACATTTTATATCTAATAACAGAATGAAGTGGACATCGTCAGGAAACACTGAAAATATGACAATACATCCCACGAGCTATTTTGAGTGGTATCTCTTTATTTTTCTTTGAAAAATTAGACTTGAAAGAATTAAGAATAGTTTGGGCTGATTCTAATTTCCAATTTGTCTTTTCAAATTTCTCAAAGATTTCAACGTTGTCTAAGAACTTAATATACCAAGCAGTTCTTTTCTGGAACGTTATGTATGATTCTAGTCCTATGTTCGGAACGATATTTCTTTTTGCTTTAAGTAATCCTGAAGCTTATGCTATATGGGGTAATTATCAAAATTTTAGGGGCGCCTGGGTGGCTCAGTTGGTTAAGCAACTGCCTTTGGCTGGCTTAGGTCATGATCCCAGGGTCCTGGGATCCAGCGCTGAGTCAGACTTCTTACTCAGCAGGGAGCCTGCTTCTCCTTCTCCCTCTGCCTGCTACTCTACCTGCTTCTTCTCTCTCTCTGTCAAATAAATAAATAAAATTTTTAAAAAAGTCACATTCATGAAAATTGCCAAATTTTGATACTAATTATCAAAATAAGTAAAATTCTTGCATATAACCACCTTTAAAATTGCTAATAAGTTTGGAAAGATGTCATATTTCTATTACAGGATAATTGGAGTTCTATTTATGATAGTGGTTTTATCACAGGGGTCTAACCTAGACTTTATTTTCTTCATAGTATATAGGTCTTTTTAATGTAAATATAAATAGTAAATAGTTCAAATATAATAGTATAATAATATATATAAACAGTGTAAATTATATCTGTATTTACTTTTATTTTAAAAAGACTGAATCTTTATAAATAATATATCAGATAGCCTACTATTGAATACCATCTGCTAATGTCATCATTTTAATAAAATTTTAAGAAACCATTATGTCTTTGGTGTAAATGTATTAGATGTACTTTAGTAATTTATGATGAATTTATTAGACCCAAGTCATCCCTCTAAATCTTGTCTCATATTTTTCTCTATAAATAAGGTGGATTTCACCTAATATTTCTGACTTTGCCTAAGCATCTGCTACTGACTTTACTAAAATCAAAACCACTCTCAGAGACTAAAACACTAGTTTAGGTACAGTAAAAATACAAAAGTTCGTAAAACATGTTTATATTTTCTGTTATGTGCATTTTTTAAGGCCTTGCCAAGCATCTAAGTCTCTGAAAAGAGTGGATGGTAAAGGGGGAAGTACTACACTGATGGTTATTTAGGGTAGGAAAGTATGTAGTTTTTCAAGTTAAAAAAGTAATAGACTTGGAATCTGAGTAGATAGCTCTATTTTAAATTTTAGTAACTATTTTATCTTCCTGATAAACCAAAATTTTAAGGCAATGTAGCAAATGTCAACAGATCTAGAGCAATTAGTGGGGATTTATTTGTGCTTGACAACCAGGGTTTGGGAATCACAACCCCCTTTAATGGTCTTAATGAATAATTATTAGTCACATAACTCCTTAAATATGCTTACTGGTTTCCTTTTCTTAAGAAAAAAAAAACTCATTAAGTCCTTAATTGCCAATAATTGAGAGTTTTTGGCATTTAATAGTTTTTAAATCGTGGGGTATTGCCTCAATTAAAATTTTCTCTGACATATTTCAAGACGTTTTTGTGTCCCCCTTTACTAATTCTACCAACCTCAGGTACCAACCTCATTCCAAACCAGCAAAAGAATATATAAGTGTTGGCTTAATATAATTTTTAGTTAAAAAATATATAAACATCTATAAGAGCAGTTTTAAAAGGCTATATTTAAAATATAAAATTGCATCTGAATATTGAAATATTAATATTAAGGTATTCCTAGCACAATTAAAAGAATTTTAAATATCTCCTAAATTCCCAAAATAAATTGGTAAGATCTACAGTGTTGCTTTGACCCATTTTTATCACTTCAGATTAGTCTTTTTGAAACTATGGAAATAGCCTATGAAATATGTACTTTTTGGCTATTATAAAACACAAATGAAAAGTGATAAAAATTGTGACTGGCCTAAAGATGGCAAAAGAATAACTAACGGTAAAGACACAGAGGAGAATTAGAAGTAATGAATAGTGCTCCACGAAGAAGCCTTGGGTTAGTTTAAGTGAATGAGGAGCACCTCCCAGTCAATATCCCTGATAGTCTCTGAGTTTAATGGCTGAGAAATCAAGTAAAGATTTCAGTTATCAGTGAATAATGGAGAATAAGTAACTTGACTTCTGACAAAAGTAAAAAGTAATTTGTCAAGTAGTTTATATTTGTGGTTTTACGTCTAGTGATGGTGATTCATAATTTGGAACAAATCAAAAATGAAAATTGGCCTTGGTTTTTATTCACACTCATGTCTACAAAATAATTGTAAAAGGAACTGAATAGATGATGGTCAGACTTTTCTACAAAGGATTTTTGTTGTTGTTGTTGTTGTTTTTATCCTGAAGAATATTTGAATTTATCTTTCTTGTCTTTGCTGTCTTAACAAGCATCCAAAACAACAGCACAGAGGAGTGGACTCAACTTGAACTGACTGCTCTTACATTCTATACTTCGGAGCATTTAAAAATACATATTGATTTGATAAGTTTTGTGACTGACTGGCTTAGTACTTAACCTGAATACTACCTGCCAATTTAAACAGGGGTTTTAGTACATTTTTAATGGCTATTTAAAAATGTTAAATGTGCTTCGAAAGAGGTCTGTAAAACAGATTCACATTTATGGGGTTTAGCTCGTTATGGTGGCTCAGAAGTATCTTTTGTAAACTTGTAAATGTCTTACTTGATGCTCAGCGAAGTATTTTTTAAATAGGAAAATTATGTATACTAACTTTGTGAGTTCTTTCAGAAAATTTAGAGTTTACAAAGCGACACACTAAGAAGTTCTTTATACTTAAGTATTATTTAAATAACAAATGTCTAGGAGTTAAGGATTTTCAAAGGGCTCAGCAAATCCCAAAGCCCCTAAGTGGAAGCAGTCTTCTTAAAGCTGTGAGAACACAGTCAACAAATGTCTCGAATGTTTGAAAACTTCTGATTTCCAACAATATTTTTAAAAAACACAATTTGCATTTTGATATTATAAGTTTATTTTTATCTATTTAGCATTCAAAATGATAACTCATGGACAGCTATAATGATTTATTTCAAATATTAATGACTGCTTTGTGTTTAATCTTTAATTCACTGTTGGGGTTCATGGTAAACGTATTTTTATTTTTTTTTAAAGATTTTATTTATTTATTTGACAGAGAGAGAGATCACAAGTAGGCAGAGAGGCAGGCAGAGAGAGAGGGAAGCAGGTTCCCCACTGAGCAAAGAGCTGGGTTCCGCTGGATCCCAGGACCCTGAGATCATGACCTGAGCTGAAGGCAGAGGCTTAACCCATTGAGCCACCCAGGCACCCTGGTAAATGTGCTTTTAATCAGAGATCATAAATTTCATTTAATCAAAATAATTCTTAAATGTTCTAAAAATATTAAAACACAATATAATGTTTAAGCTTTCAATACTTCACCTCTATAACTGAATTTTCTACGTGAAGTAGTTTATTATATAAATATCTAAATGAAGATAATTCAAGTTGTTTAGTAAGGACATATTCATTCATAGTTTTAAGTCATGTAACTAGCATTTCTGCTGAATTGCTTGTAGGTTATTTTATTTTGGAAAGCCATTCATACTGTATTATTGATATTGTTATGAGATTTAATTTCTAGGGCTCTGGGAGTTACTTTTAAACCTGGGATAACATGAGTCACTTCTTGAAGAATCATAGCGAGGTTAGCATTAAAAAAAAAAAAAAAGTCCTAAGTGGACTGAAGGTGAACTGAAAATATCAATGGGCCCCTCTGGATACTCCACCTAACACCAGGTAAAGGTACACAACGGAATGAGAAGTGTCAAATCAATCTAGCAAGTACTTACATGTACAGAGTATATCAGAATTGCATGTCATAAGAAAGTTAGAAAGAGAAAACAATTTTGATATTAGGAAAGTAGTATATATTTTATTGCTTATAGTTGGCAATACCCAGAAAATCAGAACACTTCCATAACCCAGGCTAGAAATTATGTGCTTTTGAAATGAAAGGATATCCATCAAATCTGTCTGGAGTACTGAAGTGATTGCACAGTGTTTACTACAGTTAATCTAAATAGGTGGAATGCCTGTCTTATCTATAAAATTGAATTTATTTATATAATATTTAAGCAAATCAATAGAAAACAGCATTTTTGTCATATAAATTATATTGCTCAAGAAACACTTTATATCAGCCTTTGGTTGTCCTTCATTTTATTGGGTATGGGGTTCTTTTTAAACAAATGTCAAAGGTAAAAATGAAACACATTTTGATACTGGGTAAAATATTTACATAGATTAGAAAACATGCAAAATGGGTACAGAAAGACTACAGGGGGAGAGATTGTTAGTTCAAAGAATGTGGACAAATTTCAGTCAAAACATGGGATGGAACATATCAAAAGTCAGTTCAAGAAAACAACAAAAAAAAATGCCCCTCTTTCTAAAACATTTTAATGGTTGGCATCAAAATGTAAAACTTAACAGTCATTTTTTTAAAAAATTAAAAATGTATATTTATGTGTAACAACAAGCAAGAAGACAAAACACATCAAAAACGGGAATTAAAAACAACTCTTCAAAAAAAGACAAGAAGTAAAAAAATAGAAAGGGGTGGAAAAAGTGACTGAGGCCCTTGTCATGCAAATAGATTTGGTGGAAAAAAAAATACCTTCATCTTCAGCACCGTCATTATCACCTAAATCATCTGTCTGTTTCTTTGTAAGGGGACCTAGGATTGAGAACGGAGAAATGGAGGGAAAAAAAAAGACAATTCAAGAATAAACAAGACTGAGGGGGGAAAAAAATAAATGTAAATACTAAAATTCTCAAGGGTATTTCCAAAAAGAGTGGGGAAGTGGTTAAGTCAAAGTTGATTATCTATTTTGTTTAAGAAAAAAGAATCCCTCTCCCCAAAATATCTTATAGAAGATTTGGTTTGTGAATATATCCAGCATAAAAAATACATTATGGTTTGAAACTCAAGTCATAAGCAAAGGAAATGATTATTTTTTTTTTTTAAATATCCACTGCATAAAAAAAGTAAACAGTTTTAGCTGAAAGAACTTAATTTATTCAGTGTCTTTTCTAATTTGAATTGGTGACAACAATAAAGAAAGTAGGCCAAACTCATCTTTAATTTGGGACGATATAATAACATTAGGGAAAACAGAGATATGAACATTTTTAGGGTGTTTTCTTTTCTTTTTTTCCTCCTAATTTTTGTAAGAGCATTAACACTTGGATTTTACACCTTTTTATATCATACATTTTTCAAAACTGTGACTTTTTAAAATTACTTGTCATTAAATATTTCCCCATGTGTTTTAATTAAATATTAGCTGTGGATTTAAGACATTTGCAACCTGCAAAAAAGTATGAACAGATAATCTCATCACTCTGTAGAGCAACGGTAGCATCAATAGAAGTCAGTGTTTGGTTATTTAGTTAGTTACAGAGTCAAGGCTTACATTTCATAAACAATTTAGTAATATAACAGAATTATGTCCTCTTGCAATTTCACGTCCAGTATAGTTATTTATAAAGGAATCATTTTTAGGATAATAATTATATTAAAACACTGTGAATATTTAATAAATGTTTTATTATACTTAACAATATTAATTTGCTAGAATAAAGAAGCACACCAAAGGGGAAGTCAAAGGCCATTTGAAAGTAATTTTAAGTGTCACATAATTGACATATTCAGCACAAAAAAAAGCAAGTGAAGCCCCACATTTCTTTTCGTTTCCACAACCATTTAATTTGTATGACATTTCATAATCCTCATGCAAAAGCAATCATTACAAACACAGGACACTCACGTTAAAAGACAGCCAAACACAGCAGTAAGCAAGAGAATTTTGTCATGCATAAAATAACAGTCATAGAAAAAGGAAGGGGAAAAAAAGACTGAAAGTTATGTATTGATTTCAATAATATAAATAGAAAAGAAGCAGGCATTAACTGTAAGCACACTTCATAAGGAAGGATTGTTAAACATTTCGAGAAAGTCTTCTGAGTCTTTTCAGCGATTACTGTGCATTATGTTTGTAATTCAAACTATACCTATTATCAGAACCCTCAAAGAATGGAAAACACCATCCCAAAAAATGGAAGGGGAAAAAAAGAGATATAATCCAGTTATGTTTCATCAGTGCAGAGAAACAGCCTTGAAAAATAGTACTAACTGGCAAAGATCAAAAGATTGGAATTGGAGAAATTAATGATTTACTGAAGCAATCCATTGACTATTCGTTGTAAGGTCATGGTTTCAAGGTCATTCCAAATGTAGACAGAGGAGCTGTACACAATAAATTGAGTGATATACTTTTATAGTTACTCTTGTAAGCAATCATTTCATTAAGAGAAAACCTAGATGAAAACAAGTCTATGTTAATTGACACTCTGTTGCAAGTTCACAGAAATCTACATTTCTTTAACATGACCCTGCTTAGTGCAAAAAATACCCTCAATGTTTTTGGATGCCCATGCAACAATGTAGCTACATTTCTGAAAAATAGAGATAGTTTGTATTTAAATTAAAAAATTGCTGTATCAAAAACTATATTTGAAATATTTCCAGTTTGAAAACCACGCAAAATATTAGGCTTGGAAATTTGTTTTCAAGCTTTTTATTTTTCTTTTAACTACCTTAAACAATAAATGAACAGACCTCAACAAATATGATTTCTTGCATTTCTATTTTCAAGGATGCTGTATAGAAATTATAGCTTGATTTACTAATAGACAACACAGATTAAGTGCCGTGGTCATTATTTATTGCCACCCAAACCACTATCTACTTTCCAATTTTAGATAAATTACTTAATTTGCTTAATTCTTGGCTCTATTAAGAAACCATTAGTGTGAGTTCAAAAAAATTTTTTTTGCTGAATCATCAGTTCACTAACATTTGGAGATACATGTAAAACCCATCACAATTAAATTAAGTGACTCTCATCACTTTGATTCATCATCAGGCCTCTTTTGAACAATTCAGATGAAGTGTCTTTCTTTCCTGTGCTAGGATACCCGAGGCAATTCATGGGACTTCTTCAGGAAATCATTCAGGTTCTACAGTCACCTAGCCAGTAGTTTTACATACTTTGCACACACAGAATTGCTGGTTCTTGGGTAGTGCTGTCGGTTAAGTGACTGAAACTGGCTCTGGGTTTGAGCTCAGCCCTGCCCCAAACTCTGTGCTCAGGCTGGAGTCTGCTTAAGACTCTCTCTCCCTCTCCATGCCCATTACCCCCTCAAATAAATAAATAATTCTTAAAAGAAGAAGAAGAAGACAAAGAAGAAGAAAGAGGAGGAGGAGGAGGAGGGGGAGGAGAAGGAGAAGAAGAAGGAGAATTATTGCTGGTTCTTGGGTTTACACAAGATATGATAGCAAGAGAATTTTTATGAAAACATGATCTGCCACTTGTTTGCACATGGCACATAGTTCTCAGTTGCTATATGACTCTGGGTCTGCATAAATAAGGAAGCCATGGAAATGATACCGCATATACCATGAGATGACTTTTTCATGGATAGAATAGTTGAACCACATTTTTTGCTGCAGTCTTATCAGGAAACTGCATGCCTCTTAACTGAGGTGGGATAATGATCACATACATGCACTAGATGGAACATCTTTTACTATAGTAAATCTGAAAAGTTACAAACAGATATAGATATTCAGCATCATAAATAGATGGAGACATCATTATCTTGGAAAAAGGTTAAGTCAAATTCTCCCAACTAAAGAAGTACACTTACTGAATACTAAACAAAATCTGTTATTGTATGATATTAAATTGTTCCCACAGTAGGGGTTCCAGCCATATTTTCATAATTTCAGCATAATTGGGTTTTCTTAACATCAAGAATTGTTTACACGTCTGACTTTTTGAAGATTCCCTGGGAAGAAGAGGGCTGATAACAGATTTTGGCCAAAATGGTTATAAAAAGAAAACAAAACCCCAGATTTCCTTTATCTCAATGCTTAAAGGCACAAGAAACAAATATCTGAGAAGGTCCGGCATTGCAAATTGAAAAACCCAACATTGGTTTCTCTAAGGAAGCCTCAAACAGAGTAAACATATGCTTCTGGGTTACAGAAACAGATCCCTACATGATCTCAAGATTCCTTATTCCCAGGCTGGAAGGAAAATAGCCTGTTGCTTTAAGCTTCCTTCTTTCTAAGATATCTAGGATATCTGGCTCATTTTTAGTTTATTCTACATTGACATAATTTGATATAATAACAAATGTTGAAGTTTTTTTAATTGAAAGAAAATATAGTAAGAGGTGATTGTCATTAATTTTCTTACAAAAATTAGACAACCACATTTTAGAGACCATGTATTTCCTGTAAAGTGATCAACATTATTTCCCCAAAGGGTAAAACATTTATCCTTCAACAAAAATGTACAGCAATCATTAACAACATTCCAACCATAGCTTATGCTTCTTTTAAACTATAAACAGTGCATTTTCAGTACTAAGCAGTTTAAATGGTATCTTAAAGCACCAAAATATAAAGTGAATGAGTCCCCTAAACCTGGAGAAGTGATTTATTTTACCTTGAAACTATAGGATCTGTCCTCCTTGAGGAATGCACACATAACTCTCATTAGAGTTAATAGGAAAGTGGACCTCCTGTCATTTTGAAAGGGAGTGAGAGTAATTACTATATTTTATATCTCCTATAGGCAATAAATAGATTCAGTGGTGAATCAACAGGACTAGGAAGGTAAAGGGAATTCCTAACCATGAAGGTAAAGGGAGCTCCTAACCATGAACTTTGAACTCATTTAAATCCCAAGAGTTTCTATGCCATTAATATAAGCATAATTCAAAGTGTTGGCCGTTTCAAAGGACTTATGATGCAGTCTTACATTTTAGGATCTGACCACAGTGCCTTTTATTTTAAAAAAAGGAATAAAAATATCAGCATTTCTCTGTAGTTAACTGGAGAATAATTATGAGGCCCTGAAATAATTACTATCCACTCATATTAATGCTGCTTTTTATCCTTCTCTTTGATGAAGGGCTAATATACTTTAGGTCTCAAATACATTAGAACTGATTATAAATTCCTTCATTACATGTTCAATTCAGCAGAAATTATCTGTACTTTGTGTCACACATATCTACAAAAGACAAGCAGGTTGAGGGTATTATTAGCTTCTGACTTAGAAAGCTGTCCATGAGAAATGCGGCCTTCTTAAGAGAGCAGGTCTTTGAAAACTTTAGGATTATTTAGAGCTCTAGGCTGTTGTGAGTTCCGTTGTGGTACATGGACAGCCCTAGCTAATAGACCTTGCTCTATTCTTTCCCCACCAGACTTTGAGGTAAACTGACTTCATGGGATTCCTAAGGCTACTTCCACAGAATAGGAAAATGCAAGTATGTTGCTACTTGTTCTGGGGCAATTGGATTTAAAAAGATTTAAATATTTTCAGGAATGTTCTTAGTCTGTATAAAACTAGAATCAAGGGTGTAAAAATCTGATTATGTTTGCTCTGTATAGAAGACAATGCTGGAATTCAGTATATTACAAATAAAAGTAGCAGATGTTACTGTATTTGATTTTTTCCAAATTAATAAACATTAAAATACAATGACTTAAAGAAATCACATATCATGACAGTTGGTGTCATTGCAAAGGTAGTAAATTTTACCTATTGAAATTTTGTGAGTTTTATAGAACTACAATACACAACTCTTGAGGATACAGAA